AAGGAGAGAGGGTAATTCCTACAGTGTGGGAGGCAAAGTACAATAATAACTACAGTATGGCCCAGATTCAAATGTCAGTTGTTAGCTCTGGAAAATTTTTCTCAAGTCACTTAACTGATGTAAACTTTAACTTCTTCATCTGTTTTAAAAAAGAGGAAGAAGATAATGATTTCTTCCTCATAGAGCTATTGTGAGAATTAAAGGAATGATATATGTAATGGGTATAAGATGTTCACTGGAAATAGTCTGTTTAATTAATGGTCCCTGGAAAAAATGGGACATCCTTTCCCCGCTGACTCTTACCAACCCCTCTGTGACCCTCCCAGCTTCCTCTAGTCTAGCTGGGGGCAGGGCATGAGCATGGGAGAGCAAGAATAGCAGGAAACCCATCCCCACTTCTCTTATCTCCCCACTTCCAGCCCCAGCATCCAGCCCCTCATCTCAGTCCCCAAACCTGTGAGTTTACCACCCCCTTAACCCCAGGTCTGTGGAGTCCCATTCCTAGATTCCTCAGGACCCTTCCCCAGCCCTGGGCCTTTCCTGGTCCTTGTCACTTGGAGTGCTGGAGTCACAGCTGCTCATCCGTGCAGTGGGTGCCCTGCCCAGACCACACCTCCAGAGTGGCCACCAGTACAGGTGTTTGTAGAACTCCCAGGTGGACATCTAATAATCTCATTTCTCATAGAATAGCATCATAAACCCTAGCCGGTTTGGCTCAGTGGATAGAGCATCAGCCCTCAGACTGAAGTGTCCTGGGTCCAATACCTGGGTTGCAGACTCAATCCCCAGCCCTGTTTGGGGGATGTGCAGGAGGCAAAGTACAATAATAACTACAGTATGGCCCAGATTCAAATGTCAATTGTTAGCTCTGGAAATTGATGTGTCTCTCTCACATCAAAGTTTCTCCCTGTCTCCCCCTCCCTTCCACTCCCTAAAAATCAGTGGAAAAATATCCTCGGGTGAGGATTAACAAAAACAAAACAAAACAAAACAAAACCCAAAACCCCCAAAACAAAAATATAGCATTGTGGGTAATGCCTGAGCTCTATGGAGAGGACTGTTGAAGTTTCTAAATCAGGTCCCTAACTGCCAACAAAACACTGGTTCTATGAGAAGCCAGGCTGAGCACCACACCTGTTCTCAGTAAACCACTTCCTCCTTCTATGCTGGGAATGTCCCCAGGAGTTTTTAAACAACCCTGGTGTTTACTTCCTTACAAAGTATTTTCATATCTGTGTCCTCCTCTGACTTTTCTGAGCTTGAAAGTAAATATTACTAAATACTTTCTTGCCAAGAAGGAAAAGCCCAAGAGAAGAAGCCTAACTTGACATGTCACACGGCTCAAAGTAAAATTACATAACAATTATGAAATAACCTGTTAGTTAACCTAATGGTTAGTTAACCTAAAGATCCTGTTTTAGCAACTTCCATAGACAGAAAATACTATAATTTGTCATTTGCTAACTGCAAATTGAGACATCAACTTCAACTTCTCAAAGTATCTCTCTTCCCTTTCCCTTTCCTCTTTGAGATCAACATGTGGGAAGAATATAAAACACCATAATTGGCCTCTTTCATATTCTGAGTAAAAAAACACACACACCCCTCATTGTTGTCTGACCTTGAACACATTGCTCTGCCTGTACCTCTGTTTCCACAATGTGAGATACAAAGGTTAGACTGGATGGGGAGACTGTCTAGAGTAGAGGCATGAACTATAGACCAGGAGTTGACTAAGGCCCACTGTTGGGTGCTGTTCTGACCGGGAGTTGACTAAGGCCCACTGTTGGGTACTGTTCTGACCAGGAGTTGACTAAGGCCCACTGTTTGGTGCTGTTCTGACCGGAAGTTGACTAAGGCCCACTGTTGGGTACTGTTCTGACCAGGAGTTGACTAAGGCCCACTGTTGGGTGCTGTTCTGACCGGAAGTTGACTAAGGCCCACTGTTGGGTGCTGTTCTGCCTTTCTGCAGTTCTATGAATTTAGGGAAAATCACTTAAGCACTCTGGGCCTCAGTTTCCCCTTTTGCAAAATGAACAGTCTGGATGTGATGATCTTAAATATTTCCTCTCCTCCGACCTTCTATGCAAAGCTGGTGAAGTCACCCAAGAGTCCACCTACCTTTCTAACAAACTGTCGCAGCTGCCACTTTACTTGCCAGCAGGGATCGTTCAAATTCTCATCATTGAAGTCCCAAGAGTTGTCATCTTCCTTTAAGAAGCAAGCAATGGTCGTTTTGAAGTACTTGTCCTGCATCTAGGACGAGATGGAATATTATGCACAAGTGCTTTTTTGTATTTGTTCATTTAGAAGTTAAAACTACAGAAACTGATGAGAGATTCAGAGAATTGGCACCTTGGATAAGCTCATGGCTTGGAATTAAAGTAGGCCTGCTGTCCTTTGTCCTTTGAATAAAAGTAAGCTGTTGGATATGGTGGGAACATCACAGGTGTGGGCTAGGCATCCTGAGTCACAATGCCCTTGACTGGCCCTGCCATCAATTAGTTGTGTGTCCCTCAACAAATGTCTGCTTCTCTTCTGTGTCTGTTCTTCCTCTGAGATTTGAGCTGGTTCACTATGGTGATCTTGAGGTCCTGTTCAGTTCTGACACAGTGTGGATCCTGTTCTAAAGGTGGCAACCCACCTAGATACAAAGTGGGCAGTAGAGTGTGTTTAAATGTAAGGATGCTAAATAAAAAGGTAGCCAAATCATTTGGGGGCCAGCTCATGTTCTGTTTCTTGATCCGAGCTTTGGCTGTCTGAGCACACTGTACTTATTGTGAATTCTACTCTCCTTGGATGATCAAGTGTGATCCCATTGCCACTAAAAATCTGAATGCTGCCTCATTAAATATCCACACTAGCTAGGGATTTATTAACCTGCAGAGACTTGAAGATTTATTACCTCTTCCTGACTGCGAATAAACATTTAGAGTGCCAGATCATTGTTAACCAAGTCCTTGCTTGATGTTATACACAGACGCCCTTACATGCTCGCACGCACACAAACATGCACGTGTTCATGAATCCCAAACCATGCGGAATACTTGAGGCTGATACTGATCTTACAAAAACAGGAAACACACAAGATTGCATGGGGGTTTTTTGGTTTTGGTTCTTGGTTTTTATTGCCTGGTTTTATTTTTTTAACTATTCAGGTTAAAAAGGTTATTTTCCAGTACAATGGCCTTTTTGTTTTTTCCTTCTACTTGAACTTAGGCACACTCCAGAGCATGAAGGAAGGATCACACTTAAGGATAACCTGCTTATTCCAAATTGAAATGACTGAACTGTGTATGAGAGGTTCCAGTCAGAGTCATGCAGTCCTGTACTCAGCCAAAGTACCCTGTGAACATTTGACCAAGGTCCTTCAAGTGCAAAAACATAAACCTGAGTTAATTCATTCCTCCACACACTCTGGCATAGGGCATTCATTTGCTTTTAAATGTTTATTTTCTTTCTTCCTTCATTTAATCACAAGAGTAAAACATTCTCCTGGGCAATGTCGTGGAGGTGACCCCTGGGGCCCCCTGAGCTGACAATGGAATTAGACTCGTCTTTGCGCCTGCCCACCCTGTACTTTTCTATTGTAGACTTCCATTTGCATTTGCAATTTGTGTGGAAGCTGAAAAGCCTTTCCAAAGAAGAAACTCAATCGCATGTTGTTTAGAAATATGAAAACTTGGCCAGGCACTGCTCTGATGAAACTAAAAACAAAACAAACAAACAACAACAACAACAAAAACAGGCTCACAAACGTCTATTAATTTGTTGGGATAAAAGATGTATGTGACACAGAAGGGAGAGAGCAATTTTAACTCTTGCTTCTCAGCAGTTGGAAGCTGCAGAGCATGGGAGGCTGGGTCAAGGGCCGAAAGGCTGAGCTGAGAGCTGCTTGGGAGCAGGAAATGATGTTATCTCTAAAAGGAAGTGGCGCCCCATCCGGTTTGGCTCAGTGGATAGAGCGTTGGCCTGTGGACTACTGAAAGGTCCCAGGTACAATTCCAGTCAAGGGCATGTACCTTGCTTGATTGCACAATCCCAGTAGGAGGTGTGTAGGAGGCAGCTGATCGATTTTCTCTCTCATTAATGTTTCTGACTCTCTATCCCTGTGCCTTCCTTCTCTGTATAAAATCAATAAAAGTTATGAAAAAAATAAAATAAAATAAATAAAAGGAAGTAGAGTTTGAGAGGGGTGGATACTGAGCAGGGGCCAGAAGCAGAGGTCAGCTGCTGACAGTGCCTCTGGACATCCTCTGGAAATTTTTCAGAAAAACTTTCTGTTTGGGAGGGAGAACCTGGAAAAGTGGGGAAGCTCCTAGGTATCTATGGCAGGAAGGTTGACAAGCTAATGTGGCGCTATTGTTACCTCAAATTCAATGAGGCCTAGGGACATTGAGGACACACAGGCACCCTAGAAAATATAGAGAAGTAAGGAACACTTTTCTAAAAGCAAAAAAAAACAAGCTACAACAACAAAAAAGCGCCCCACCCTAACCGTCTAACTAACCCCACCTCCTAGTTAAAGCTTTTCATGATCTCTTTTTTGTTTACAGGGTTGAGATCAGACTGTGTAGGGGCAGTTTGAGTAGGGTTGTTTTCTCGTAAGACTCTGTAAAAATGTCATATTCTTTAAGCCTGTGTGAAAGTGGATATATGGATAGCATAGATATTTTTATAACATTCACTGTAGAAAATTTATAAAATGTAAAAAAATAAAAAGGAAAAAAGCACCCTACCACAATCTTACCATCTAGAGATCACAATGGCCAACATTTTGGTGTTTCTCCTTTTAGATATTTTTATGCATAAATATAGAGTGTTCTGAGAACAGAAACCCAGAAAGGAAACCCCTACCACCTTCCCCATCCCCACGTGTTTCTACAGACCTTGTTCTGCCACCTGGACCCATGGGGAAGGGGGGTGCTGTAGAATTTTAAAAAATGAGTAATGACACCTCCTTCCCACCTCATGATTTTCAGATCTACATCTCAGGCTTGGACTTTCCTCTTGCTAATCATATGTGCACTGGGAGCCTGCTCTTCTGTTCCAGAAGCCCTTGGTTCTGTGAAGTGGGTTTGCATGACTGCTGCTGGTGGCATTATCTAGGCAAGGACTAGCCACTATCCTTGGCAGGGCTTGAGTCAGCAGGGTAGACTCCTTTGCTGGCTCAGAGATTTTGAGGTGGCAGTACTGACCCTCTCTGCTGCCCAGACATTAGTCTCTGACAATCATTTTCTGTAACTCATCCTGGTCTCTAGTCTCATCTATAAAATGTGGGTGTTCAAAGTTCCTTCCAACTCACAGTTTTTGATAATATACAATTAGTCAAAAATATATATAAGAAGGTAAGAAGCTGAGTTGGTTTATTTTCTTAATCAATTTTGCATTTATAGTTCCAAATGTTTTA